CTAGAGATTAATGGATAGAAGGCAGTGGCGCACAGAGCCCCCCCCCCCCCCCCGAGAATGAGTCGCAAGAATTTTCTAAGTTACATGAGTTATAGAAATGTGCAAATCACTTGTTTATACTTGTAAACAATTAAGACAATTTCTTTAATTTTTCAAATTTAATTTAGCCGTATGAAAAAATTTTTCTCGGAGGGGGGGTGGCGTCGCTAGCGTCACGCCCCCTTCTATGAAATTTCGGAGCTAGTGGCCCGCAAAAATGTTGGGGAACATACAAAAAAATTTTTCGGAGTGCGTGGCTAACGCCACGCACCTTTATCAAAAACTTTCTTTTGCGGCCTCCCCTTCCCCCCCCCCCTCCTCAACGGAAATCCTGGGTACGCCACTAGAATCTAAGGATTAGGCTCAAAATATAGCCTAGTTGTCTCCGAGACCGAAACATATGTGCAAATTTTCAGCTCAATCGTTCAGCAACGCGCAACTGTTGAGCTGAAAATTTGGAGCCACCGTCCAGTCGCGCATTTCGTGTTTTATATGTATAAACAGACTACGCTGTTATTCAGGCGCCTCTCATCTTGTCTATTAAAAAGCTTCAAGAAGTCTCAAGTGTTCCTAATGAGAAAACCGCCTTGTAATTTTGAACAGTCTGATTCATAATGCATATGGAAGCGAAAAATGCTGTAATTTCACGTGACAGCTCCCTGACATTGCATGTTTCATAGTCTGAGACTGTGTGTCCAAGAGATTCGGTAATTAAAAAACACAGCAGTGATTGCAAAAGAGAGGTGACAGTATGAAGCGACCAGTCTTCAGTTTCCTCTTGCTTTTCCATTTCTTCACATTTGTTCAATATTTGAAACCATCCAAAATACCACTGCTGCAGTGATGGGACATTTACCAAAACCACGATGGCTTGCTGGCCTCAACGCACAAAGTCAGGAGTTATGGTCATAAGCATTTTCGAGAACAAGGATATGTGTTGCTTACTGCTTGCATGTAAATGCAAGTTTTTAGCAACCATCTGATAAAGCTCTTTACGCTCTATCCATCCATATGGTTTACGCCAATTTTCGTCTATCTGCGTAAAAAATAGATTTAAACATGATTTTTCGGTTTTTATTGCCCCAAAGAAACGCAATTTTTTCCAATCTTTTGCTTTTTTACTCGGGAATAAAAAGGAATCCCAAATGCTTGATATACCATTTAAAAGAGCATGAAGGCTATTTCGAACGGTATGTCACTTGCCTCAAGACTGCATGGTATAGCGCGCAAGATAGAGAGAAGTTTAAAAAATCCTTAGGGTTGTGGAAGAGGAGCTTTAACGCATTACCAGAACAATAGGCGAAGTTGAAGTTGAAGTCTGCTTGCTGTTGATTGGAACAAAAATCTCAAAATGTAATGAAAATCAAGTTGTCCCATTTTTTGCCGTTCACCCTAATATGAACATAGCAGTAAAGCTCACTTCAGTCTGGCGGTGAGAAGGATGGATATTCCGAGGATCATTTCCAGGTGAGTCCATGCTGTTACATTGTTCTCGCAACTCCATACGAAGTTGATTAGAGGCTGGAATTGAGAACAAAGGGGACAGCAGAGTGGGAGGAAGTCTGGGGCGAGCAGGGGGAGGAGGTGATGGGAGAGGAGGACTGCTTTTGCTGGTATAAAGAGGAAGGGATGGATGATAAAGAAAATAGAAAAGCAGAATAGAGCATTCTAGACCCAAACTGGTGCAGTAAGGCATGGCATTTTATTGTTAGCGACTAGTTTGCATCCTCGGCTCTTAAGCGAACCCGAAGATGCACGCAAGTCGCTGACGATAAGATTGACAAAATATGTTTAGCCATTATTATGTAATAAGCATGATTTTGAGCCGCCAATCTCAATTCATCACTACCTGACCTTGTGTTGAGTATAATGCACTGAATGGTGATTTATTCGCGCGAATGTTTTTGAACTCTTATTGGAAGTCGAATCGTGTGGAGTTGTGCTGCTTTCCATACAGAGTGGCTGTCTGCAGTGTCTGACATGACTTTGATTCACGATACCCTATTTTAGGTGTATAAGGCGCACCCTGTTTGCTTTGAAGACAAACACGCCAAAAGACTGGCTGTTATACCATAGGGCGCGTTCACGGCAGTGTCCGGGCAGGAAATCGATTTTTGTGACTACCGCAGCCTATTCCCTATGCTAATCCGAAAATTCACACTGGAGAGCACGAAAACGACGAAAAAGTGTTTTAAGAGAGCACGAAAAAGAAAAAACACAGGATCACGTTCCCAGCTGCGCGATCTTCTCACTTCGGCTAGCAGCACATCGCCACTGGCCGAATGCGAACAACTGACATGAAACCGAAACCGAAAAGATCGCTCCGGAATCTGGGAGCGTGAACTTACAGTGGAGAGTGCCCTGCCCATTTGCGGATCCCCCTCTGAGAGCCCTTTTTCGCTGTTTTCGCGCTCTCCGGTGTGGACTTTCGGATTTAATATAGCGAATACCCGGGTAAGCACAAAATCTCATAGTGGAGTTTTGCCCGGACACTGCTTTTAAGTGAGAGCAGGGCCCAGCACGAGTCGGTTTCTAGGGTTTCTGAAAACGAAGTCTCCCCTAACTTTCGGAAGTTTTACGAAGTCTCCTTTGGCCTACCTGCTTAGAAGAAGATGAAAACAAGAAAGATTTACTAGTCTGAATGAAAAGACGTAAGATAAGAGTGAAAATCCAAATTGAAGCCGAATACTACGCATGCACAAGACTTTGGCATTAAAGCGCGATATTCACAAAGCGAAAAGAAATGAAGGCAAAAAACAAAGGAAAGGCAATGATATGAAAATGTCTTCATGCTCAGGGATAGATTTTTGACCGGAGAATCCGTCCATGCTAAAAAGATCCGAAACTTATGTGAAGTGACGAAAATATATGCTCTAGACGATCTCAGATCGTCTGGTGGCCGTCTGGAGACGATCTAATTTTGGAAAAGGTATTATTTTACACAAGTTTTCAAATCTTTTTACATAACACTTTCACAAATAATTTCCTATACATACAGTTCAACTTTGGTGTCATATGCTTCTGTGTGCGCTGTAAACAAGCAATTTGTTTATTTAAGCCTTGCTTTCAAATCCGGCGCACTTCGCCATGCACGATAGAGCATGTCAATCGTGTGATAACCTGTCCGAAAAGCTTGTGTTCGACTAAATGGCGCTTATTCTTGGTGCTCGGTTCCGACTCGTCAAAAACAATATTCCCTTTGCTGTTTGCTTCAAAAACGAAGTCCAGCCTGCTTCCAGACGATCTGTGCCGGGCCCTAAGTGAGAGCAATGTGCGAGGAAGCAATCGCTTCGCGAACATGCGCAGCGGCACGCCTGGTTGCGTTTAGAGCAAGGAGGGTGCGGCTCATACACCTGAAAATAGGGTATTTGCCGATTTAACATGGATGTCGCTAAATAGACCAGGAACTTACTGCAAGAACGAAATTTCAATCATTTTTCCTATTAATCGAGGGGTCGGTAAAGACTATGACGCCAAACATTGCTCCACTCACATTTTTATGCATAATGTCTACAGTCTTTTTCAACCCGGAGTAGGCGAAACATTCGAAGTGGAGCAGCGCGTCCGTACGGCCACTGGCTCAGCGAGAAGATTAGAATGCAGAGACGCAGACTGCAAAGCGGCGCGAATCGTTGCGAAGCGGCCTCCCGCCACTCCAATTTCTGCCTAAACAGAAATGAAAGTTACAGTACGGATGGCCCACTTTACCCAGCAAGACAAGATTTTGTGAGCATCAAAAATTGAGTTTAGTGGTTCAAAATCGTGCCTGGTATAATGGTAGATATGGTAAATTTGAAATTTATCTGTTAGTGTCGGCGATTGCGCAAAGTTTAACTTTCCATTGCATCTATTGAAAAAAGTCAGCACTCCCAGGGTTTTACAAAACTTTGAGGCGTATGCGGCGTACGCAACGTGCAGCGTACGCACATTTGCATAAAGATACAGTCTCCCCAATCCCATTTAGGCCAAAATTGGCATGGCAGGAGTCCGTGTCGCGAGGATATTGCGTAACGTGTGTACGGCTGCTAGTCTGCTGTCTCCTTAATCTCTTCGCTCTCTGTGCCAGGGCGCGTATGCAGCGCAAGCGCTTAGCGCTGCGAGCGCGCAAATTCAGTCGGAGGTTTGGCCTGATCCCGATCGGGGCAGACTGTATGGGCGTATGCCGCGTACGCCGCACAGTCTGGCTCAACCCTCAGAACTTTCATCCAAGATGAATAAGCTTCAAAACTTCAACATCGCTCCAAGATTAGCAGTGTATGTACTCCATTGCATAGGTACGTGCTGCTGGCATACCATCATTTACTGTTGCCCCTTAATCTACCATTGTAGAAGATAAATCTTGTTGCTCAACATCAAGTCAAAAATGCGAACCCAATAAATAAGAAAATTAGAAGAAACGACAAGAACTTTCAAGTCTTATCCTGTACTCTTTCTATACGTACCTGGCCTTACTACGAACCTTTAAAGGCACAGCCACATAAGATATCACCCTTCTAACAAGGATAATACCTTGTAAGTCTAGCATTTAGTAATCGAAAATTTGGGTGTATGATGTAGAAACCAAAAATTGATTTTATCTTTTAGCCCATTTCTGTTTTCTCTTCATCTAACCACAAAAATTAGAAAGAGCATTCATTCGCGTTATCTTCATTATAAAGGAGACGCAGTAATTTTTGAGCGAACAATCCTGAGTAATATATCCGTCAATTCTGGCTTCAAACTTCAGTTAAAGCAAGGTTTGCACAAATTCGGTGGTCTTGCAGTACGATTGGCTCAACCAAACGTGCTCCATACATTTTTGCCTTTTTCTTTGCTGCTGTGGCAAATGCGACACCACCTCTATCTAACGACTAGTGAAATAATAATTTGTCAAGGAAATTCATAGCATTGCATGATTGCACGAAATCACTATGATCACCTATACATGGTAACAGTGCAATGCTCTAGCCAAATAGGTATACCTTTTCTGAGCATTTGTCGCTGTCGGAAGTCGATTCAACATTGAGCCACTTATCTGTGTCGGCAAGGTTAGCGTCAGAAGCGACTGGAATACCCTTTGAGCTTGATGCATCCTTCGTAGATGTCTCATTTGGCGCATTAGATGCAGGAGTTCCGATGGACTCTATTGGCGCGTCTGCCATTTCCAAGGTTTCTGTAAATACAGTGATAATACATAATAGTCTCCACTTTTTTCCACAGCACGGCAAAGGACAACGATTCTTTATGGAGAATTGAGAAGGAGAAAAAAGACAGAACGTTTTGCTCCTTATTCGGAAGTCATACACACTGAAGGAAACTCAGGTTCAGCCATGCTTACGGTCATATAGATTATCCTAGAAGTCTTTCGTATAATCACCTAATGAAGTGCGCCGTTTGTGAGAGCTATAAGCTTAGATACGGATAACTCAATGTACAATGTTAGGCTGTTTTAGAAGTTCGTAGAGGTTTGTTGTTGTTCTTTTCCTGATGAGCGTTCGATTACCTATAAGATGCGTAAATCATAGAAGAGCTGATCATGCTCCTCAAAGCCAGCGTTCAGGATGTATACACATGGGGATAGCATGTGGAAACTGTTTTTGGGTTTTAACTGAGACGAGCGGCAGCGCATAGCTGAGAAATTCGACCTAAAAAAACCCTACTACCGTATCTGACAGATGGCTTGCATGAAGTTGCATGCTCTTCGTAGGGACCCATCGCTCACACCAACGGACGTTCCCGCGCAAAACTTGCAACCCGGTGCAAGTCGTCCACTAACAAGGGAAAAAAGGTTGGTTGAAGTGGCCTCTCAGAATTAGATAGATACCATGGTGCTTGAAACGCTAATTCCAAATCCGCCTTCCGTATCTGCGGTGCGTTTTGGGGCAACGAGTTATGAGGGCTTTTGAGACTGAAGTCGACACAAGTACAAACAAGAAGGACACATTGCTGTGTACGGTGTAGTGATTAGTGTGGTGGCCCTACAGACAGACTAGCCCAAATTCGAGCCCTCGGATGTGGCTTTCGTTTTGCTGGTCTGCAAAAAACTTGTATGAACTTAGGCACCATAACCACCCCTTCCTTTGATTGAAAATATCTTTGGAGAGGTTTTATTACTCGATGTTTTTCAAAGGTTTAGTGGTCTAAAAGGAGAGGACAGAATGTTCGAAATATAGGCATTTTTATTAGGTCGTTCCGAAAGTAATGTCGCTTTTTTCAAATGAAAGCCACATTTCAATGAATCAAGATTTTCAAGAGATCTTAGAGGCATTTGATGCAGCATTTCATCCTCTTTCTAATGATTGTATCACAATTTTATTGCATAATATTCAATGAGCTCTCGAAGACTTACCAAGATTTGCCACTCATGCTTTTGTCATGTTCAAGTTTGGCCATTTTTCTAAATTTTTGTACCTATTCTCCAAAGAAGTACAAGTGACAAGTAGATAGAGCGAACCCTATAGGACACAAAGTAAATTTTTTCTTTTTTTAGCTTGCTTTTAGAGTTTCTGGAATTAATTTTTCAATGCCATCAAATTCCGTATTTCGTCAGCTCAAACTTCACAGAACAACAACCGACAAGCAACTCGGGTGTCATTCAACGCGGCTTTTTCTCCTCTTTCTAACATTTATTTTTTGTTTCCGATTCATCAAGTTTTCTGGGATAAAATCATCATAATTCAGGTTTTCCAAGGCTCCCCAGGCTGTACCCGGAGTTTTCGAAAGATGCTAATCTGAAGCGGTGAATGTTCATTTGTTTTGTGAACTTAGTGTCAAACCATAATCCATCTTTGTAAGTTTCAAAATCCGAAGATTTACTAATGTTTGATGCATTTGTGTCTGAGACGAGCCTGCTAAAATTCGGTGGTTCTATCAAAAAATCTATACAAAAATTATGACGAGCTCTGGAAAGCAGGAAAAAGTTGTGCTGTTTTCTGTAGGGTTTGCTCTATCCATCCATTACTTGGACTCCTTCCGAGGGTTGTTATAAAAATTTAGAAAAATTTTGAAACTTGGCCTTCTCAAAAAGCATGGGTCGCAAATTTTGATAATTTTTGAGAGTTTGTTGGATTTTTTGCAGCGATTACATAACCATTAGAAAAAGAATGAAATGCTGCATCAAATGCTACCAGAACCTCTTACATATCTTTGCTCCACGAGATGTGGCGTACGTTTGAAAAAGCGACATTACTTTCGGAACCACCTGATACAATGAAAGCAATGAATGAAGAATACTCCGCACAGCTGAATGATTACAGTCCCCTAACAATTCGAGGGGAAGCAATACTATGCGTGGGTTACAAAATCTCCTGGATGTATATCAAGGCAGCTGTTGAGGTTCCAAGAACAAGCCGAGATTTTTGGAACCCGGTGCCTTATCATAGTGTACAGTGTCAGCTACGTTTTAAGAAATTTTCTTGAGCTTTCTGCCTCCATTTTAAATCACTTGCCCTCAAAAGACCAGTTATGACTTGAGAATCTGATAAAAGGAGAAAGGGAAGGTGTATGAACGATCTTCAAGCTTATAGAAGTGTTTTGCAGACAGCAAAATGGACATAGCAGAGGAATTGAATCTAAAGCCCGTATGCACGTACCTTCCCGCTAGGGAGGGGAGTGGATTTGAAAGGCTCTGGCCAGACTTCGCTCAAAAGCGCCCAACAGCGCCCAAAAGCGCTCAAAAGCGCCCAAAAGCGCTCAAGCGCTCAAAAGCGCTCAAAAGCGCCCAAAAGCGCTCAAATTTCTCTGGTGTCTCTTCACTTTCTCATATGAGGGGAGATGAGAGAGTAAGGAGAGGTTAGAGAAGTTTGGGCGCTTTTGAGCGCTTTTGAGGGCTTTTGGGCGCTTTTGAGCGCTTTTGGGCGCTTTTGAGCGAAGTCTGGCCAGGGCCAAAGGGGATGCGCTATATCTCGCTATAGATATCTTCTTTCTTTTCTATATTGCTTATGGAGGTTCTCATACCCTTATACCTTCGCAGAGTAGGTGCCAGGACTGCCATACAAGATTGGTTTTTTTTGCCATTTTATGTGTGGGGATGCCCAGGGGATCCCATGGAATCACCTCTCATTTTCAAAGTCATTTATCTTCCTGAGAAATCAATGAAGTGCTGCAAAATTGTACTGAGGATATACTACGGCACTGCTAAACTGCTCATAGTAGAAAGAAGTGAGATCTCAGGATAACGAAATCTTCGATGAACCACTATGAAAGCTGATCTCCCGGGCATTCCCAGCAGGAGTTCAAACAAAATGGCAAAAAAACAATCTTATTATCTACAATTATTTACAATCTATGGCAGTAACCTGGCATCCATTATGCGCGGGTTTAAAGGTATGAGAACCTTGATAAGCAAGATAGAGAAGGAAGAAGAAGGATATCTAGAGTAGCGAGATATGACGCATACCCTCTCACAAGGGAAGACTGATCGGCCATTTGGAATGAGCTGTATATTAGGAAACCGTCCTCGGTAAGGCAAACTCAAAACTACTTTTGCTAGGTGCCGAGAGGTTTTGTGGGGGGAGTTACAAGGCCATTTTCCTCCGGCGCAGCCGGCGCACCCAGTGATGAGTGAGTCGCTAAAAAACCTAGCAGTGTGGCAGTGGCGCAGGGGCAAGACACCGAACTACGAAGTAGATGGGAGGGTTCGAGTCCTGTTGCTGCTACTTTGTTTTGCAGTTCTGTAAAAGTCTATTGGATGACAGCAGGCGAAAAATACTCATCTCTACGCAGTTGAAACAAGCTATCTACTGCAAAAAAGACACTATTTCTACAATGAGCTATAATCTTCTACAATATGTAAATCTGTGGAGGTTATGATGCTACAACAATGGATTCAAATGATATATTAACATGTATGGAATACGACCACAAATTGCTCAAAGCAGAAGGCTTCTCGCAGAGCGCGCACTTGCAAAATTGCAATCGATTGCAATCAGCAACTTCATTACCTATCAAGGCAGAACCACGCAGGTAAAGGCAAGTGCCAAGTATGCGCATATAGCAAAAAGCTTCGCTGCCAAGCATTACGATGTTCTCGCCAGCCGGATACATTGATAACCACCCCGGCGAATTCGAGTTTCTTATTCAATACTGTTTGATAGGCACCGACTTTGATAGGCAATTGTGAAACTGCTGATTGTCGTTGTTTATATTTTATCCGATGTGCGCGCTGCGAGAAGCTCTTCTGCTTTGAGCATTTTGTAATCGCATTCCATACATGTTAATATATCATCTGAATCCGTTGTTGTGACATCATAACCTCCACAGATTTACATATTGTAGAAGATTATAGCTTATTGTAGAAATAGTGACTTTTTGTAGTAAATAGCTCGTTTCAACTGCCTAGAAATGAGTATTTTTCGTTTACTGTCACTCAATAGACTTTTTACAGAACTGCAAAACAAAATAGCAGCAACAGGACTCGAACCCTCAACCATCTGCTTCGTAGTCCGCTATCCTTCCACTGCGCCACTTCTAGACTGATACGTTATTCTAGCGCCTCGCTCATCACTGGGTGTTCCGGCTGCGCCGGAGGAAAATGGCCTCGTGATTCCCCCCCCCCCCCCACAAAAACGCTCGGCACCTAGCGAAAGTAGTTTTGAGTTTGTCTTACCGAGGACGGTTTCCTAATATACAGCTCATTCCAAATGGCCACTTCGACCGATCATCCTTCCCTTGTCAGATCCCGTCCCCTCCCCAGCAGGGATGTAAGTGCATACGGGCCTAAAAGCTCTGCCCGTAAGACTTCCTTCATAGTACGCCACGGGTGGAGGATTATACGTCGCCGAATTTGGAGGAGTCCCGCGCGGATTTCCCGCAGGAACGCATGTCCGCGCATATACAAAGGTACGTATTTGTCGCAAATGACCGCGGGGACCGCCCTTTTTCGGCGACATATAGTCCTCTACCCCTACGCCGCAGGACGCAGCAGCCTGCCGCAGCCGGCAGCAGGCCGCGTACTGCGGCGTACGCCGCCGAAGTCGCAGCGAAAATATACGCTCACGACAGCACAGCTTCGCCGGTTAGGATGACATCTATATTTGTTGCACGTTCGTTTTCTCCGAGAGGTTTCTTCACAGCGAGCGAGCTTACGTTTTCACTGCGAACTGCACCGGCGCACGCCGCAGGACGCGGCGTGCTGCTGCGTGCTGCGGTAGGATGCTGCGTCCTGCGGCGTAGTA